GCCGCCGTGGCCTTCAGCGGCAACCGCCGCCTCCACCAAACCCTCTTGATCAACCGCCGGAATTTGCAGATCTGTTGTTCTCCGCCACCATAGCCCACCGATCATAGCCACCGCCCATAGCCGCCGTCACCAGCCCAACCATTACTGAGCGGCGAGAGATATGTGGAGAGATAGAGATTGAGAGAGGCAAAAACACGAGAGGTAGAGAACGAGAGAGAAGCAGAGAGAAAATAAAATAAGAGAAATAGATCTGATAAGTTGGAGAAACGTGAATATAGATATTATATTTAGGGTATAAGGGCAAACTAGGGACTAAAAAAATTAAAGGATGTGGTTCCTATATTATTTGAAAATAAGGATTTAATTAAAAGATTAAATTTAAGGTTGTCATTTAGTTCAAATTATGTTTGATTTGAGGGGCTCTTAGCATATTACCCCTAATTTCAAAATGTGAGATTATGATTTATCCAAAGAAAATCATGTATTGGGGCAATTTGCTATAGATCCTCTATTTATATTCTATGTGATTAATTCCAAGTCAAAATTTTCATTTTTTTTTTAAACCAGCCAAGTGCACGCGTTGCATGTGTCGAATTATTTTTAGTGTTTTTTTCCCATTTTTATTCGATATGTCTTAGAATAATATTATATTATTATACATCAAAATGTATATATAATTCGATCCATCATTTAGAATAAAATATAAACTTGATTTCACATTGAAGATACAAATAACTTCTTTCTTATGGTATATATTTACTCACGAGAGCCACTTTATGGTTTGTGTTTGTATTTTGGTAGTATTTATGGATGAGGGCATATTCGTCCTCTTTGGTCTTGCTATAAGAAAATTAGATAAATTTGTGGGCTTGAACTAAGGAACCCTTTTACGTGTGTTTGAACCAGTGTTCTAAAAATCGGCCCAGGCGCGATTAATCGGTCTCCGAGGGGGAGACGGTCCCAAACCTTTACGATTTTAGTGTAAAGGTTTGACAAATCGGTTTTTTGCCCGTGAGGCGGTCTGAGGCGGTCAAACCTTTACGGCGGGTCAAACACGGTGGCAAAAATCGGTTTTTTTTTTTCAAATTAAAAGTTGGGAGTTTAAATAAAAAATCCCAACTTATGACGGAGGGGTTATGACAGCGACTGATATATGCCAACGTGTGCTCCATAAAGTAAAATACCTGAGTATCGTACACAGACCACGCCAAATGTCCACGAAGTCGCAACTCCTAGAGCTGGCAGCAGTAGGTATTTACGGGCCACAACCAATGGTTAGGCATGGAGTATGGCATAAATGGGAGCCTCCTGCTCTTGGAAAATACAAACTTAATACAGATGGGTCTGCGAAAGACGAGATGTGTACGGGCGGGGGCATCATTCGCAATTCAGAAGGTGGTATTATTGCAAGCTTTTCGGCTTTCTTTGGGAGAGGTACGGATAATTTTGCTGATTTTTTTGCGGTGGCCGTGGGTATTCACCTGTGTCATTCGTTAGGGATTGGAGCAGTTGTAGTCGAGACGGACTCTCTTTTAACAGTCAACGCGATCAAGAAACTGAGAGTGGCGTGGGATTTGGACGTATATCGGATTTGCATGCAAGAGTTTTGACCATATCATAAGATCACATGTTACACCAAGAGAATACGGTGGCAGACCGTTTAGCCAATTGGGTATATACACATAAATCTTATCAAGAGGTTTTCTCCGGGAGCAGTATGCCTCAAGAAGTGAAGGCTGCATACATTAGTGATAAGCTTGGTATTGCGAATTTTCGTAAATGAGACACACGGAACTACATCTAAGGAGGAGGGGTAGGAGCACGCTGTGTTGGGGGTGGACTTTTCGGATATTGGAAGAGAGAGTCATTGGTTGTAGCGAATGGGAAGATGGAATAAGCATAGGGGTGATTCTGCATTATTCAAAAAGATGTTGGCTAGGGAGGCGGAATTTCAAAAATTACAAATTGACCCCCACCTGTGGGGCTTTTCGGCGAAGTACAAGAAAGTTGGGGGTGGTTAAGAATAGCCGCATTACATACTTTAATATTGGCATTTTACACCCCCATTTTGGGTCATATTTGTAATAGTCTAGTTACCTTAGACGCTGATTTTTTATTTCCATTGCAGGGATACTATTTTTCCTTGTGTTAGGCCCACAAGGTTTTAACGAGGCCCCCTCTTGCCTATCTTAAATGGAATAATAAAATCTTTTGGCCGAACAAAAAAAAAAAAAAAAAAAAAAACGAGTTTATGCTTTATTTTGTTTACGTTAACCGTTATTGTTAAAGAACTAATGATGTATGCTAGAAATGTTCAAGAATGAATGTAAATTAAAAAAACAAAATTGCATTTTTATTTATAATTTATAAGGATATTTATGTATTATGATCTTATTATTATTAAACTTTTATTATGTTATTAGGATATATATACATGATGGAGATATAACTATGTTTAATTATCTTTTTATATATATTTTGAGTATTTATAAATAATACCTAGATATATATTATATTAAAATTTAAAAATCTATATATTTTTGATTTATCACCGATTAATCACCGCTGGACCAATTAATCGTGAGTCGGTGTCTGACCGCCTCTGACCCGATTACAACTTTTTACAACATCGGTTTGAACAAAGAAAAAATGGGGCTTGCATATATTCGCCGCCAAGTTAATTCCATCATCTCTTACCGTTTGGAATTTGCATCGAGCTTTGCACATTGGCCCTGCCACTGCCTCCCGTACCGTATCCGTCCACTCTTCGGCATCCAATGAAACCATTAATATGGCTATGATTACAACTAGTACTTCACCCGTGCGTTGTACGGAGATCAGTTTCAAAATGAAAAAAAAATAACAAATATCATGTAAGTGACTATCTCTTTGTAACAAATCTAATTCGAATAAAAAAATGAAAAGAAATCAAACAAATATAAACTTTACCTATTAATCCAGAGTCGTAACATATAAAATGCAATCAAATATTAAAAAGAAGAAGCGCGAAAAGCAAAACTCGTGAATAATACTGAAATGTTATTAACGGCGTCCAATCCGTGATGTAGACGTATACGCCACTACCGTGACAGAACCATGTGTCGAACACGAAAGAAAGAATACCCTATATATCACTAAACTAATACTAATACTAATACTAATACTAATACTAATACTCATACTTGTGTTCTAAATCTCGGCCGAGGCGGCCGATTAATCGGTCTCCGAGGCGGAGTCAGTCCCAAACCTTTACGATTTTGGTGAAAATGTTTGAAAAAACCGATTCTGACCTATGAGGTGGTTTTTAGGCGGGTTGAGGGCCTTGGGTCGGTCAAACATTGGAGGCGGGCTTTGGTGGAAAAAAATAGGTCAAAAATCGTTTTTTTTTTCTTTTTTAATTCAAAATAAAAGTTGGGCTTTTAATAAAAAAATGAGTTTATACTTTATTTTTTTATTGTTAAAGAACCTAATGATATATACTTTCAATGTTCAAGAATAAATTTAAATTCAAAAGATTTGCGTTTTATTTGTATTTTATAAAGATTTTGTTGTATTATGAACTAATTATTATTAAAATTTTATTATGTTTTTAGGATATATAAATGATGGAGTATAACCTGTTTAAATGTTTTTTTATATATGTTTTGAGTATTTATAAATACTATCTAGAAATATATTGTATTAAATTTTAAAAACTGATTTATTTCAGATTTATCGCCGATTAATAACCGCCGCCCCGATTAATCATGAGGGGGTGTTTAACCTCGTCCGACCCGATTTCCGGTTTTTAGAGCATTGCCTGATACTCATACTCATACTCATACTAATACTCTAAGGCCCTGTTTGGTTGCCAAGATAAGACATGATTAACTAAATAGTTGGACATAATTTGATGTTTGGTATCGTCAATAAACTACAGGTCGACCCGCCAAATTATATAATCATGGATTATCTTGCCTTATCTTGGCTTCTAATGAGTTTTTTTTTTGGACGTTTCAAGCTTTAATAAAATAAGTGGGCCTTATTAGATTATTTAATCTTATCTTGGCTAATCTTATCTTGCCAACCAAACAGGACCTAATACTGATACTAATACTATTAGTGATACTAATACTTATACGGATACTAATGCTAATGCTAATACGAATACTAATAGTAATACTGATACCGATACCGATACCGATACTAATACTAATACTAATACTAATACTAATACTAATACTAATACTAATACAATTACGAATATAAATACTAATACGAATAGTAATACTAATATTAATACAATACTAAAATAACACTAATACTAATACTAATATTAATATTCATGCTAATTAATATTAATATTAATATTATTACTAATTCTAATGTTTTGAAATGCTAATGCTAATATATTGATTCTAATATACTGATCCTTATAATACTAAAATTAATGCTAATGTTAATCCTAATATGCTAATTTTAATGATAATACCAATTATAATGCTAATTCTAATCTTAATGTTATCATAATCCTTATTCTATTCCTAACTGTAATGGTAAGCTTGATTCTAATCATAATTATAATGCTAATAATCCTAAAAAAATTGAATTATTAATTTTCTCTGAATATTTTTTTTAAAATTAGAATTATTATTTATAACTAGAATTTAAAATACAAACATGTTTTTACTGAATTATGTTTTCATTTAATAAGGGCATAAAATATAATTTATTTGATTAGGATTAAAAGTCGAATCATGTGCCATTTATTCTTTTGAAAATTCGTATGTATTTATCATTTTTTTTTAAATTTGATCAGCAAATTTACCAAATAACACATTATATTTTCATTCACAAATCCAATTCAAAATAAAAATATTTCACTAAATTTGACACCGCAAGGGTGGATGTGTAAGAAGATTTATAGTTGAGGGGTGGATGTAATTACCCAAACAGAAGGGGTTTTTTCATAATTTGACCATACCTCAGGGGTGGTTGTAATTTACCCAATAAATAATTTATATTTTTTGTAGAACATTCTTAATCATTTCCAGCAGAAGAACACCTTTCTTTGTTATATACTTTCATGTGATTAATCAACATGGACGAAGTAGCTGCATCGGCTGAGAATCCCCTTTTGCGCATTTCCTCTAAGAATGATATTGCCTTGTCAAGTTCTTTCTTCTTCAACTAGCAACGAATAATGACGTTGTATGTCACGCTATTCGGTGCGCAACCACTTCTCTCCACTTTTGTAAGCGCATCTTTTGCCTCCTCTAAAAATCCTTCTTCACAAAGTGTACGAATAATGATAGCATATATGTGATTATCATGTTTCAACCCTTTGGAAGGAAGTTCGTTTAAAAGATTTTTTGCGTCTTCATGTTTCCCATCTTTGCACAAACCATTAATGAGGATACTATATGTAATTATACTAGGAATTACTCCTCTCTCTTCCATTGTCCTTAGAAACGAAAACGCTTCAAAAATCTGTCGAGTCTTGCACAAGTATTTCATTAAAATATTGTAAGTAAATAAATCGGGACGTACTTTCCGAGCTTCCATATCGTTGAAAAGTTCCCATCCATCAGCAATTCTGCCTTCACTAAATAATCCATGTATCATGGTGTTATAAGTAATTGTTGTGTATTCTAAGCCTTTCGAAGAAACTTCGAGAAAAGACGCCAAGCTTCATCCACTTCTCCCTTCTTGCATTATCCGTTTATTAAAGTGTCGTAGCTCATAATAGATGGTTTAATCCCCTCGCCCGCTATGGAATCAAATACTTGTTTTGCTTCGTCCATTTTCCCTTGCAAACAGTACCCATCTATCAACGAATTGTAAGTGACGATATTAGGACAAATATTTTGCTGCTTCATGATTTCCAAAATATCTTCGGCTTCTTTAACATTTCCTTCCTTGCAAAACGCGTCCACCAATACACTAAAAGTAACAACAGTTAAACAAATCTCGTGATCGACCACTTCGTTCAATAAGTCTTTGACCTCTTTCCATCTACAGAAATCGCACAAGCCCTGAATCATCGAGTTATATGTTACAATAGTCGGTGAAATTCCCTTGTCGATCTTTCTAGACTTGAGCTGGAGAGCATTATCCACCGTTCCGGTCTTGCATAAGCCGTCAATTACCGCGTTATAAGCCTTAACATTGGGTTTATAGATAGTCTTTTCCAATAACCAAAGCAAATCATCGGCAGCAAGAACATGTCCAGTTTTGCAGAGCCCATCTACCACGGTAAGAATCGTAACATCGTTTGGCTCACAAAGTTTCAAAGTAAAAATCTTCTTGAACAATTTGTCTGCCTCACCTACATTACCATCTAAAAAGAGCTCTTTTAAGAGGGTGTTGAACGTCGTAACGTTTGGCTCGTGGCAGCGTTTAAAGAAGCAGCCAAAGATAGCAAAACTAATGTCTACATGTTTCAAGAGGCAACAACAATTAATCAAGATGGTCATCGTGTACTCATTCATACGGGCAGCCCATTGACGCATTTCGTCGAACATTTTAAGGGCGCCGGATTAATGTTTCATCTTGACAACAACTTGCAATAGTTTGGTGAATTCGATAACGGATGGCTGTGGCTGCATTCTTGCCATTTGACGAAATAAGAAAACAACATCATCTACTTCATTTATACAACTCAAATATATTCTCCGTTTACGTGAAAAGGATCGATCTTTGGGACCCACACTGTAAAAATTTGAACAAAATAAAGAAAAGGGATCATCGAAAATACCGTAATGGTGAGAAGATGCAGTAGTAATTGCTCTACGAATCAGCGTTATTTTAGTTCCTCTCATCTTTTTCAGCTATGATAATGCTAATTACTTAGATCACATAGGGTAGTGTGGCAAACGAGCTAGGAGAGCAAAGCGGATCAGTAGCTTGCCAATTTGATAGTTTTGAGGTCCCTACGAAATGAACACACGTGAACTAAGTCGGGGTTGATCCGGCGGAAATCCCTTCGACGCTCAAGTTTTTAAGGATCGTGGAGATGGTAGAGAGAATATGTGCTCTAGAATACTTGTGAATAATAGAACGTACCTTAACAAATGAGTAAAAATCTCTATTTATATGTCGTTGATTGGGTAGTGTTTACTTTGTTGGGCCCAAACCTTATTTTGAAGGTGTTTGGGCTTTCATGTAGCGGGCCCAAAAAATTAGATAAATTGGGGTCCCATTGGGTCGGCCCAGTAAGGTATATCATTAAGCCCCCCAACTCTCGAGTCGAGATGGGAGACTTGTCGAAAGGGTTTAAGATCTTGTCGAGAGTTAAATGTGCCACGACTTGATTGGTTTCCATTGGCGTTGAATTAATGCATAATTAATTAAAGAAGGGGTAACTGTATTTATTTGGCAGAAAGGTATATATTTAAGGGTTTTAAATAATATACCAAATAGAATCCTTTTGCGGTGGAGATAATTAAATTCCTCCTCCTGTGGAATAAGTATGGGTAAGTATTTTTAATTTTTGAGTTTTTCTTTTTATTATTCCATGTATTTTTGTGGTAGAGTAGAAGTTTTTCCTATGTTTGAGTATTTCTTCGGGAAGAGAAAATTTTCATGTCGAATCCGAGTAAATCGAAATCTTGCGAATTAAAATACGAGATCCGGTTAAAGGGAGCGAGATCCCATTTGGGATTGTGGGTTTGGAACGCGAGAAGCTTGTAGTATTGGGTGTGGAAATCGGGTCCGCGGTGGTTGGTGCACGGATTGAGGAGGAAGGGAAGGTAGTTGGTGGCTCGGCTGGGGTCGTCGGCTTGAGCCACGCAGCCGCTCGCCACAGCCTGTGTGAGGGCGCGCGCCTCGAGGGGAGTTTTAAGCCGAGCGGAGCTGTGGAGTCATCGGCTTGCACTTTGACCTAGGAGAGGAGAGAGGACTTGTCAGGCGCGTCGGGCACTAGGACTGGGAGACGCGCGCGCGTCGGGCACGGAGAACGAGAGACGTGCGCGCGTGGTTGGCGACCGACGAGTGGATGGCGCCATTCCCGCGCGACTCGCGCATGCGTCTGTTGCGCAGTCCAAGGGTGATGCGCGCTCGTTGCCCTATCCTGGGGCGCGTGTGAGCGTGTTGGTAAGGGGGTTGGGAGCGCATGGGCCTGCGTCACTTGGGGAGGTGCGCGCGCGTGAAGGTGCACCTCTTGGGGGTACGCGCGCGCATGAGGGCATGTCCGTAAACCGTTTTCGGTCCGGTCAGGCGTGATGGGCAAGCCGTTGAGAGATCGGTGCAGTTGGTGTTTTGAATGGGGGGGATTTTGGATGGCAAGAAACCATTGAATCTTGGAGCGACGATGTAAGACCTAGTGTTAATGTTTTTGAGCATGCGGCTGGGGTTAAATCTAGTAGGCATCATTATCGACGTCAAGTCGTGGATTTTGGAAGCGATAGTGATGAATCAAATCAATCGCATTCGTCGAGTGAGCGTGCCGGGCCGAGCAGTGAAATTGACCCGATGGTTGAAGTATAAGAGGAAGATAATATTCCGCTTGGTGATGTTGAGATGGATACGAGGAGGCAAAAGAAGACTAAGTCAATTAATCTTGATTTAGTTGATGTTGATACTTCATTGGCAGAAGAGCATTTGCGGTCTATTAGTCAGTTAGTCGGAGGGCCAAGGAATATCGAGTTGCTTTTGCCTCAGAAGGGCGTGTTGGGAATCGGACACCAGTACGCAGCGGAAAACAAAAAAAATATGCGATTTAAACAAATTTAAAACACATAAACACATGCCCGATAATTGAAAACAATTAATTGCGTACCTTTGCGCTTCCAGCGAAATCAAAAACAACATTCATGCTTAATTACTTAACCGAAATTAAATCAATTAGCATGCTCACGTTTAAATCAAGTAATCATGCTCGCAATAATAAAAACAATTTCATTTAGACACATAAAATCATACATGTTTTTTAGTAAAACGAACATGCATATATCAACTTAAACGAAAACGAATCGAACGACAATGGATTCGAAACTTTACCTCTTGAAGCGTGAGGTAGGCGCACTAGGGAAAGCTAGATTGCCACGGAAACAAATCCGTGCAATCCGGGGCATCAACGGCGATGATCCAAGCTATGGCGGCGCGTGTGGTTCACGCGCTGTCTTCGGGCGGCGCGTGGAGGCGCGTGCGTCGTCGGTTCGGTGGCTGCTCCTCGATTCTTCGATTCTTCGATCTTCCTCCTCTCGGATTTCACCTCGTATACTTTGATCTACTAAAACGTGGCACTAGACACGCAATAGTTAGAATAAAAGGAAATAGATCTACCACGATTAACCGGCCAAGGGGAGGCCGATTCTGGCGACCGAACGACGGTGTTGGCCCCAGGGAAGGAGAACGTCCGAGAGAGGGAGCGGCTAGGGTTAGGTTTTGTGTGTTGTGTCTGTGCAAGACTTATAAATCAAGTATTTATAGTGTCTTGCATAAAACGCTAACGGGCTTAAGTTGGACCGGGCCCACCAGCTTAAGTTCGTTACTTCTTTTACTCGCTCGTCACTCTCAATTCGATGATCGGAAAATTGTAACAATTATATTTCAGAATCATTATAATGACCTCGTCATTACGAGTGCCAATTCTCAATTTCCAACTTTCCAAAAGTGGAAACCCTAATTCAGTGGACTTTCTAAATTTGGAAACTTCCCGATTTAGAAAGTCCACTAAGATGTTCGCCTAGTCTTTTCCTTTTCTTATTCTCATTCATCATTCCAAATTATGAATGTTGGACCCAATCATATTGACTTCCAATCATGCAAAGATAAACCATTTTTACGTTTGACCGTTCATTCAAAGATCTCATGTGCACGAGCAGTGTGACCCTCGATGGTTCAGGTGTAAGCTAGTCGTGGGCCCACAACCCTTTGTGGTCAAAACTTGTCCCTTAGAGTTACGATTAAGATGAAGCTCGTTTCACCTTAATCACCCAACCAATCAAGATTGGCGTCTAGCAACTACGCGTCATGATTCCCTTGATACAAGTGAAGTGCCTGCAAGAACCTTTTGATATAGTTAGCGTACAGTACGATCCCTTCGATTTATATGTCCCGATTGAACTAGAGGCATTGGTTCATCGAGACCTCTTTATTTGTTCAATGACGACGCGATCATTCTAAGTGTTGTAATCGTTACGTGCATGACTTAGAGAATCGAATTCTCTAATCATCACTTAGTCAGCTCTGGCCAGAGACTTAGAGAGATTACAAACCATGAGAACACACATGACATCCAAGACTATTCTAGCGATCGAATCCCCGACTACAATGCACAAACCTCCCACTAGATTTCGGACTGCACGTACACTGGCCCTTGGGGCGGTCCTCGGTGGAACTCAGGGACAGGTCACGATACAGCTGGTCCTCTAGTGAAGTCACGGTGATGTCTAGGTCATAAGGACTAATGGTGTACAACTATACCATAGATATATCTACTCGATTATTGGGAACCACTTAGAGATTTCTAGGGTGAGGGAGTTCAGTGAACTCGTCAACTTACGAGCACCCACTTATGCATGCCGATATCACAATACCGTTTACTGATGAGATGCAGTACACATACACTAAGTGCTAGTATCTTAATGGGAAAGGCCGATATCCTCTTGGTGGCGTAACCCTTCGACTAGGAACACGTTTAACAGTTATAATACTAAAGTAAATATCTCACGATCCCAAAGATCAATTACTAGTACTTTTAATAACTGTAAGGACTATATCTATGTTTGAGACAAAGGGACAAAGATATAGAATGCCAAGGTGTTTTTATCATAAATACGAAAAATGATCATTTATTACAAGAATAAATGGAAAAACCACGGCCACAAGTTGGCTTGTTGGTCACTACTCTAACAAGTTTAATTTTCATGTGGAAGCATGGTAATATGCTTTAATTAATATTCATTATGTTTGTGTATCTACATTAATGATATAAATAATTTTATCCTAAATGCAATAAAGTGATAACGTATGTGCTAATTATTTGAATAAGTTTATCATAAACCGCATGATAATAAGTGCTATACTACATGACATTTCTCATGAAAATGCAATATTTATTTGCATAAATTGCATATAGTTTTGATACGGGATTAGCTTTCTCCCAATTTTCATTTGATGTGGAACCGTCCAATTGATTGATTTTCGAATATGTTATATGAAATTTGTGAGTACGTGATCTTATTAACGTGTTTACTATTGTCTATGAACAATTAGACTTGTCTCGTATATTAAGTATGAGTTACTTAGTAAGAGGATTATTATTATACATGTTATTATTTCCGTAAGCCATACCAATTCCTTAGAATTGTGTAATTGCATGGACACATACTGATTACGTGCTATATATTTATGTAAATCAATTATGTTGGACATGAATTAATTTATGCCATGAAATATTACGTCCAAACTTGATGTTATTATATACTCGTGTGTATTTTATGTATATGTTGATATAGTATGCTTGATCTATTGTTTCTTTCTATAATCAACTAGTATCAAAGTCGTTCTCACGTCTCACACATTATTTTTATTACATTGATGCACATGTTCTTTATATATGAATCATACTACAAAGCAACTAAAAGCATGATTGAAATGAAATAGAAAGAAAGAGAAGCTCAATTCATGAGAGCACATGAGTAGTTCTTGTCTCAAGAACATAAAAGAAGATCGAATCGTTGGTT